AAACTCTGTTGAACAGTGGTAAGAAAATACTCCTTTTAAACAGAAGGATTTGGGATTGTTTGTACCTCAGCATGCTATGGCAGGCTATGTATGGTCTTGGAACTCTCACAATTTAAGTAACTGTAAAAGGTTTATGACTGATGAAGGAGATCATAAAAATACCTAAAGAATGAAGAGCATTAGTTTGTGTCTAGCACTTGAACAGATGTTTGTAGGAATAATCATTAAACAAGAACACAGAACAAGGAGAAGCTATTACTGAGGACTTGGCGTTGCCTTGACCAACATCTGAAGCAGTAACTGTGTCTGAGAAGTGGGGAGGTGGGAGCAACTGAGGCACCCACCTCCCTGTACAGTGGCAGCCCTTCCCCCACCCAGCCCTCCACTGTGTCCTGTTAGGCCTACTGGACAGTGCGCCTCTGGCTTTCTTCCTAGACAATGCAGGTAGCGGTTTTAAAGAGCTCAAAGGTGGATTGGATGGCCTCCTCTCCAGGAGTACAAGGGTACTGGGTGCATCTGGTGGCCGTGTGTTTGTGTTGCTGTCCCCACTTCCAAGGGCTTTTCTTCTATTACACCGGGGAGAAGTTCCATGCTTGACAAGATAAGGCAGGGAATTTGACGGGCCACGTGAGCGGTGAGATCTATGACCCAGAACATTAGGGCAGGATCTGAAGGGCACAGGGATCTAGGGGATATGTGCCCCCTAATTCTACAATGTAGGTGACACTCTGGGTGAGTGTTCAGTATAAGTCCAGTGCCAGGACTTGAGCTGTTGCTGGTGGGGACCTCAGCAGATCACTCACTGTTGATTCTGATGTTATTTTAAAAAAAAAGTCTGCTGAATCTGGCTTGATGACTCATGCCTTAAATCCTAGCACTCAAGAGGCAAGGCTATGCATGCATATCTTTCTGAGTTCAAGGCCAGCCTGGTCTATATAGTTCCAGAACAGCCAGGGCCATGTAAAGAGACCCTGTCTTAAAATACAAATGAAAACAAAATTCAAAATGTCTGTTGGTCCACAGGCAAGTTAACTTGTGCCCTTTCTGGGCCCTCTGTGGGTGTTTCTGCTTTCACTAGTTCGGCAAGACTAAACTGAGTGTGCATGTCAGGTGCATATGTTGTAGACCCAGCTGTTGTCTGCTCTTCTTTGTCATTGCCCTCTCTCCTGCTGACCAGGTGTCCTCCTTCCTATCTTCCACTCCTCAAGTGTCCTCCACCTTCAGGCCTCTCTCAGTTCATCTGGATTAGACTAGACTAGACTGGACTAGGCAGATTTGGTCAAATGGTCTGTGTGCTAGATCTGAGTGGCTTTGGCTAAGTGGCCTGTGCTAACTACATTAGAACTGGAATGTTTTCCTTCCATAGGCGGACGCAGCTTTTACTGCCTGGTGAAAAACAGAACCTCCTGGCTGTCTTGAGAAAGGAAAACAGTCATGGCAGCAGGCCAGGCTCGGAGCTGTGTGGACCAGGGCACATTTGTTGTCCCCTTAAAGAAACTGTCCCAGGCATTAAATGGTGGGCACAGTCCGACGGAACTTGAAATATTAGCTGAGAGTTTCAGCCAGAAAAGCAGCACAGTCCACTGTGCTCGGCTATGAACAAGAAAACAGAGTAAATTAAGTGACTGTGCCACCAGATAAGTGATTAGGAGGCCCCCCTACCCTGGCCTCTCCTGGCCTCTTGTAAGCTTCTCTTTCTGGCCATTCCTGCTTGCCAGAGAGCCATCTTTAAGGATTTTATTTACCTTCCTGATTGACGGTCTTCTCCCCTCCAAATCTTCTTGGGATGTTCATGTCCAGGCTCGGTATCTGTCTGTCCACGGCTATGACTGAATTCCCTCACTTGGCTGTTTTCTCTCTCTGGCTCCTAGAATGTTTCTCCATTCACTCTGATTTTTCCTTTTTCTGTTGTTTCAAATGCCTATTATTTAGTTTGAATAAATTCTGTAACCAAAAGGCAAGAACATGAGTGGCCCACAGAGGACAGCTCTGTGGGACTCGTTAGAGTTGTGATTTCAATAGCATGCATGTTTAAAAAATAATAATAATAGCTTTTTCTCTGTGATCTGTTGACTTTAGAAGAACACATTAACTTTTTGACTGGAAGATTGAACACAAGTTATGTGTCACCATTAGAGAATAATGGATGATATTTTAAGGTGTATACATATGAATAAAGTTTAGATAACATCATTATTCTAAGAATTAAAATATCCAATGCAGCAGCAACTTATAAAATAGTGTATTTTAAAGAAAATGCATTTGCAGGGACTTGGCATTCCTTAAAGGAAGAAAAATTCTATTGTTAGAGTCAAAAGAATCCACCTCCTCGGTTTTCCATGTGTCTGATAACTTACAGAAAATGGCTCTTGCCGTCTCCATTTACAGCCTTTGTTTGTGTGTGTGTGTGTGTGTGTGTGTGTATGTGTATCCCTAGGCTCCCTCTCTGGCCTTCAGGGTGACTCAGAAAGCCATCTCCCATGTGGTGTGTGTGAGGCGGGCATCCAGGGTGAGACAGCGGCCTTTCTGAGTTTTAACTGTCTCAGGGAGCCGACATACACTCTCGCCAGAACCTGGAAAACAAAACTTAGGAACTCACAGTTTGCTGGAACTTAGAGTTGAAAGTCCAGAGTTAAATGTAGCAGCTGAAACGGAGAGCCCGAGACATAGGCTTTGAGGTGTCCCCGGTCAGTGACATCAATCAGGCTGTCAGCTCTGAGTGTCCTCTGATAAAATCCCGAGGTTTGGAACACTTTCCCTCTGCTTCTACATCATTTTTCTTGTTACACGCTTGACTCTGAGTCGCACCATCCCTGGTAGTCTCTGTTGGGATAATTCATATCGATTTTTAAATCTATGCGAACCCAGAGGGTGTCTGCATTTTCAATGCCGTTTACTCCTTTTGGGGTGCACTATGTACTCTTGCTCAGTCCTGCTGTAATAACACTCTGGATGTTTTAAAGGTAGGTGGTTCAGGCTTAAATGTTTTACCACTGTGTTGGTCTTTTGTGACAAAAAGTCTTTTATATTCAGTTGTAATTCTGGAAACCAATATTTAAATTGTTAAAAAAAAAAAAAGTTGCTTTCTCTTGGACCCACAGAGGCAGTGGAGCCCATTAGGCTTCATTTGGAGCCCTCAAAGGTCAAACCAGTGAACCTGCCAGTGTGAACTTGGAGCATGCAACCAAGTACCCTCCCCATTAACTGGTAGCCACTCCCTGCACTCAGAAACCTGGTGGGTTTGGGCAGCTACTCTTATACCTGAGGCAAGGCTCCCCTGGCATTCCCTAGGCTCGGTGCCCATGCCGCTTTTTGAGAATATGATTGCTCTGAGAAAACCCATAACTAGTCCACACTTGTGGAACCATGGTCTCATACAATAGCTTCATTGATTCTTGATTTCCATAGAAAAGCGTTCTGGGTTCTCTAATGACTCACCAGCCCGCCCTTCTTCACCTCCACAGTGAGTGGCTTTGTGTCCCATGTACCGTCTGTGCCTTGGGATAAGGACTTACATGAGTGATGAGAGGCAGAGTAATTTCTGAGAAGTTGTCATGAAGAAATCGAGCAGACAGAGGTGTTTGCATGCAGCACATTTTGTTGTAGAGATGCTGAGGTGCTCCCGTGTACCTGAGTGTTGTCTCTGCAGGGCCTCCTGCCCTTCTGTTTCTTAGAAACCCTTAACAAATACATTACTGAATATCCCATATCCAGGTCTCAAGTCAGATCAGATTGTGCAAGATTCTTGACATTTTTCTTTTGCTTACTTTACGCCGAACCAAGAGAAAATTGCTGATGAACTATATTTTGGTAGCCTAAGGAAGACAGTTTGACTTGTGTATTTTATGCAGTTAAATTCTCATCCGTTCCATAGATTGATTGATTCTTTTTAAGAACCTGCAATTTAAAACTAGGAAAAGATACTGACAATTCTGTGTATAGTAAAACCCCTGCCAGCTGTAAGCTGGTTAGCAGGAAAATTAAAACAATGACCAGCCTGCCCTCAACACTTATTGTGTAGCACACAGTCACCACTCATCCCCATGCACCATGTACTCAGAG